AAAACATATTGCACCAGCATCAGTGATGCATCACTGAAAAAGAGCCTAATTTAATTTGCATGAAGATAAAACTAATGAGTTTTGATGTGATGAATGTAATGCAAAATGCAGAAATGGGGGGGGGGAACCTCCCTCGGACTTTAAAACCCTTCATGTAAACACAGATTGTTCACCTCCAGAGCACTGCAATTCTCTTTTAAACCCTCATTAAATGCATAGACTGTTAGAAATACTCAAATTAAATTTTGAAGCAGTGGAATTGATGCGGAAGAACAGTGATAGGAATTTTTTCTTTCATTTCTTGATGCTGCTACTGAACTTTTCACACAGTGGATGGTTTGAAAACATGGTTGAATTAATTACATTGAAGTAGTGACAGATACTTTGCTTTAGAAATTTTGAACTTGAAAGATGAGACCAAGTACTGTTATTTTAACTCTCTATGTTAAGGCAGAGATTTTGTGAGACAAGTAATACTATCCTGTTGACTAGTGGAAATAATATGGAATGTTGAAGATAGATATATAGACATGTGAAGAAGAAGCTTGCAGTAGTTTTAATATTACTTTTTATTCTCGTTGACAAACATCCCATAGCCAATACAGATAAAGTGGCACAAGCACACCTGTTTTAGAACTGCATTGGTACTGTTTACAATTCTGAAATATATTTGGAGAAAGCAACAGAATGATCACAGAAGAAGATTGGAGAGTAAAGTGTCATATGTCTAAGATTAAAGTTGTGCTCAAAATAATTTGAATTTCACTTTGCGATGTCTCCATTAGCTGTTTGAGTTTGTTTGCAAAATTGTTTGTTTCATTAATTTGCAAAATTATGTGTGGCAAAAGTATCTGTATTATGTAAAAATTCATGTTACAGTGATTAATTTGGAAATGACTCATAGTGATTTAGTATAAACAGATAGTATTTATAGGATGGAAACGGAAAATACTCAAATTAAAATAGAGAATTAAGGGACTGTTCCAAACTGAAGTTGGAAATCTTCCTTATGCATCATCATGCACACACATACATACAGATACACTGAAGAGCCATTACATTATGACCACCCTCCATCTACAACAATGGGCTCACCCAAGAAGAAAACCACTGTGCATGCATGGCTGATGTTGGAGTATATAAAGTAGCTATTGTCTTTCCAAACATCGCACGATTAGTGACATAATGGGAAAAGCAGCTGAATTATCAGACTTCAATAAAGGTCAGATCGTTATGGCTTGGTGGTCGGGAACATCAATATCAGGAATGATGCATTTAGTGGACTGTTCATATGCAGTTGTTGTGAGCACATATCGAAAGTGGCGTATGGATCGTGAAACAGCAAGTTGCCAGCCAACACTGTCATCGACAGTGCATTGATTCCAGAGAGTGGAGATTACTATGCATTGTTCACCATAACTGAAGCGCTGCAACAGCCAAAATAACAACCAGCCACAATAGTGATGACCTAGACAGTGTTACTCAGCACACTGTGCAGTGTACATTGCTGGGTATGGACCTATGCAGCTGGAGTCCGAAGCATGTCCCTGCACTGATGGCATGTCATCGCTGTCTACAGTGGGCCAAGAATCATCGGAATTGGACATTAGAAGAAGGGAAGAAAGTTGCATGGTCCGACGAATCACATTTTCTGGTTCATCACATCGACAATATATATGCTAATATGCCGATTTCCAAATGAAACCTTGGCTGCCAGATTCACAGTTGGTCGGAGACGAGCTGATGGCGGGGATGTTATGGTGTGATTAATGTTTTCATGGAGCACATTAGGATCCATAATCACCATGGAACAATCCCTGATGTCTGTGTGCTATGTAAACATCGTTGCAGACCAGGTTCACCCCTTCATGACAGCAGTATTTCTGGCAGTTAATGGTGTTTACCAACAGGATAATGCATAATGTCATAAGGTTCAAATTGTCAGGGTGTGGTTCATGGAAGATTCCAGTGACTTTCAAGTCATGTCTTGGCCTCCAAATTCACTTGAGATTAATCCAATAGAGCATTTATGGTCCCGCCTGGAAAAACAAATTCATTCTGCCACACTACTCCCTTGCAATTTATGGGAATTGCAGGACCAGATGGTGAGCGCTTGGTATCTGATACCTCAGGTTGTGTATCAGCACCTTGTGGAGTCAATGCCATGCCAGGTGCTGGCAGTTTTGAGGACTAAAGGTGGTCCTTTCATGTTATTAACAGGGTGGTCATAATTTGATAGCTCTTCGATGTATATATGTATATATAATATTAATAATTTTAATTTTATTAAATTCATTTGGCACTTTCTTTTAGATTATTTCAAGAATTTATGATCATCCGGATATATTTCAGAAATATGGCTTTGTTGAAAATTCTTTGGCTTTTGCTGGACAAAGACTAACGATTTTTCAACAATTTGTTACATTATTTTTAATATGTTATTGTTTTGATTTTGCTTCAGTTTTGATGTATGTACTTCTTGATAGATTGCTACCCACTTACTGATTTAATTTTCTCTTTGTTGCACACACACATACATGCACATACAAATAGCATTAAATTTCTAACAAAAATCTGTGCATTATTAGTCAGAAATGTTGAGAAAGGATAGATTGCTAATCTACTTTCTCCTTATAAATCCTTTTCACTAAATAGCAATATTTATTTAGTTACACAATTATCTGTAGAATAGTTACCTAGTTACAAATACATTTGCAGTTAATTTATGTCACAATCCTTTTGATTAATAATATACAGTTCGTAATCAAAATCTGTAATAAAGGTTCTAAGTTCGAAATAATAATTCTGTTTAAAAGTTCAATCCAAAAATCGGGAAGGTAACTTGTCATTCCATGACTTGTCACAACAGCTTGTTGGATCATTGGTGTGTAGGAAGAGATTGATCAGGCAAGGGAAGCTTCTTTTCTTTGCTTGGATCCTCTTCAGCTGATGCAGATATCTCTTGGGAAGAAATTTTCTGATCGGATCACACCATCTGTGCATTCTTTTAGCTTCGGTCAAGAGTTCTATAGGTAATAATTCTTTACATACATCGGAGACGCGTGACTTTATTCTGTAAATTAACCATCCAATGTCCTTCTTGAACACTAGGAATGTACCACAACAACTTGGTGGTCCAGAACTTCGATTTCACAAGAGTAATTCTCCTTTAAGTTACTCATTGGTCTATCTAGAGCTAATACCAATCTACGCAACGTGCTAAATGTTCACTTCGTTGAGTTGTTACCCCATTTTGTTCACAGTAAATCTAAGAGTATACAACTGCTGTGATCCCATGTCAAATAAAGCTCTTACAGTTCTTCTCTTCCCATTTCCTTCAGTGGACACAAGTACAGTTTGTAGAAGAATTTCTGCTTGGCTTAGGTTAGACAGTGTTACATTTTTATCAGCATGAGGAGTTTCTGAATTAATTTTCTTATCAACAATAGACAGTTCAAGACATAACACAGTCTAATGTTTCTTTTCACAAATTATAGGTTGGGCATTAGCTTTAAAATATTTCAAATAGTTTCCGAGTCTAAAAAATACAAAGCAGCCTTTGCTTTTCCTTAAAATATTTTTTTCTTTCCCCTCAAAACAATTTTTGGCCTTTAAAACAGTCTTGAGAATAATTAATTTTGCCACAGAATACACAAGTAGCTTTCTTAGCTTTAGTTTCTGAGACTTGATCGTTAACCGTCAGGAGAGAAATTTAATCTTTTGTGTACTTTTGGTTTTTATTTAAAATTTCATTTGATTTAAAATCAGCTTGAAGAAATTCATTCTTAGCCTTCAGCTTCCACACGAAAAACAACAAATGGGATAGTTTATCCCCATACAAGTTTTTTCTTTTTTCTTGATCACTGGATTGTGTAACTAAACCCTTAAAAAATTTTCAGGAGTGCTTGATTTCACCAACAGGAATAACAGGGTGACATATTTGTCAGTAGTTACACCAATCACCTCCTTAAGACCTTAAATATGACTCTAATTTATTATACAGCTGCACAATGTTAATTTTTGCTTTTGTGTTCATAGCATTTTTACTACCAATGGTAACAGTTTGCAAGGAAAATACTCAGCAAATGCCTGTTCATGTCCAGACCTTGTTTTTAAGATGTCGGTGGCTTTTGCAGTTATCAGTGGTTGGTGAATAGCTATCTACAACTTCTAAAGCTGTATTTCCAACTGCCATGCACTGGATGAGGTACTGAAATTTATCTTCACAGCCAAATCTCATCATCATGAATTCTATTGAACTGACTCCAAAACATGAACCAGTCTATTTTGGGAAGGTTTATTTTTGTTTTTTCACCTCTATTCAACACAAATGATTTATGAAATATAGGAATTTTATCAAGCCATGCTTTAGTATGAATGAAAGCTGCATCTAAATTTTCTCTTTATTCTTCAATTTTCTTGTGTCCAACATCAAAATCTTTAGATTTGGCTTTTATTAAAGCAGTACAAATTTATCCATTTCAGCCAAATCTGCAGGAATTTGGTCTAAAGAAGACAATTTAATTTTAATTTCCTCAAGTTTTAAATCTGGTTCATTTAAAGATGCTAAATTGTAACACTTTGTGAACATTGCTCTAATGGGCATTCTTCATTTAATAAGATCCTCCAAGTTAATAAAAATTTTAAATCAATAAAGCAAATGTTAATAAATTCACTGACCTTTAAATATCAACGTCTGTGGGTCACCACAGTAATTAGAAGGACTGACTAATAATCTACTTTTCCCTTATATATCTTTTTCAATATATAACAATATGTATTTAGTTAGACAGTTTCATTACAAGTCATGACACATACAATCTACAATGAAAAAAAGTACCTAGAAAATGTGCAGCTGCATTTAAAATCTTTAGCACAAAATGAATGTACACAAACCATTTGCTAAATTTCTGGTTAACTCATTTACTCTTTCTTACTGCAGTTTAACTGAACAGCAATATATGTTATATTGCTTTATTTTAATTGTCTTACTAAACTTGTTAATTTTTCTTAAAATTCTAGGTGTCCTGTACATGTGCCTGAAACATTATATTGATCGCTACAACATTTACTATGTATATGGTCCATCCAAAATTAGCCGCAACATTCATGCTACTGCTATCAATTTTGTGGTCATATCAATAATTCTTATGCAAATGTGTGTTTTCTTTTTCCTGTATTTGCGAAATGGTAAGTTAATGTTTTCCTGTACTTACAAGTAGTTATTATTGCTTATTTTTTTAGTTTCTTTTATAAAATGAAATTAATGAATTATGAAGCATATTTATTTAAACTTAATATTAACCTTTTCCCATGTGCTATAGGGACCATTTTTTTATGTGTTGGGGCCATTTAGTCAGCTATTTTAACAGGAGAAGGAGTGGAAAAACAAAATCAATGGGGTGTTAAACTTCCTACTCCAAATTAAAGAGTAAATTTTAGATCTCCATAATTTACTAAAATTTCTTGAGACACGTTTAAAGTAGTTAACATGTGAGACATATGTGTCCCAGCCTCCCAGAAAATATTAAGCATATTATTGTTATACGTGTGATTAGCTAACAGTTTTCGCATTTAAAGAAATTTAATATTGTGATTTTTTTGAAAATTATGTCTTGCATAGTAAAAAAAGTTGATTTTTTATTTGTGTATATTTTTAAAAAATTTCTTCTCCAGGTTGGATGCAGATGTCCATTGTATCCTTAGCTATTTGTTTGATAACTGTCATGATTTTCATTGGTCAAGTTTCTTTCCAGTGGTTTCTGGTTCTGAGTCCTATTAGTTATAAGGTAAGTTAAATTAATGTTAAAACATGATTTTCTTGTCCAAAATAATGAGGTTAACTACTTGTCAGTAGTCCATTCATAAATTTACTAAAATGCTTTTAATCACTTATTTTTATATAGTTTTTAACAGCTCTTATAGTTAGCTTTTCTTGTTTACAGTAATTACCCAGACAATTCTGAACTTCATTTAAAGTTCATGCATGGAACTCTTGAATCTTAAATTCGTTCCATGTCATTCAGTAATTTAAGTGAAATTTATCTCAAATTTCTATTCAAGAAAATTGAAATGGTATTCATCAAATTCTAAAACCATCTTTAAATTGACTTGACAAGGAAAATGCAATGCCTTGAAAAGCAAACACATTAACATTCAAATGTCTCTAGAAGCACACAAGTATATGAGTATGCAAATGATTGTAATTTCAAGCCTGTCAGATTATTATGCACAGGATTTAAACATCCAAACATGCTAAGTTTCAGCATTGTCATAACTGTAATACACTCTTTTACAAAGAAATCGAAGTTGATCAAACATGCAGATGATCAAAGTTTCAAGCAAAAGAACGGGAATTGCAATCATAGTGCTCATTTCTAGTGTGCAATTTGCATAGTATAAAACCAGTAACAGAGGCAGGAAATTTATCTTTTTTTGTTGCTGTCATTGTAATTCTTCAAGAAGCAATCTAAAAATGCCAATATGACGATGATCGAAGATCTTACAGACAACTAAACGACTTAAAATGTGGTCACATTGTAGGGTTGCATGAAGCTGGATGATCATAGCGAGCACCTGCAATGTACGGACACTGCTGTGCAAAGATGTTGGCAGCAATGCTTGCTACAAGGAAATTGCCAATGAAATGAAGGCTCTGCAAGGACAAGAATCACAAATGCAATTGCAAGTACCAGGTTCAAACTGCCCCAATGGTATCACTGACCATTCAATGCACTACAGCCATGTCTATACTTCCATGGTACCGCCCTCCATCTCATGGCGCTTGTCTGAGGCAGGGTTACGCTCACAGAGGCCTTTAAGACGTTTGCCTTTGACCCACAACATCGGCGGAGTTGTCTGGTGTGGTGTCACAGCCGATCATCATGGCTGCCATCAGACTTGTACCGTACAGTCTTCAGCGATGAATCTCGTTTCAATCTTGAAGCAGATGACCACCATGTTCATGTCTCGAGAGGATGGGGCCAGCAGTCCCAATCAGCCTTTCTTTTACAAAGGCATACAGCTATAACCCCTGGTATGATGGTGTGGGGCACTATTTCTTATGACAGCAGGTCATCTTTAGTCATCTTTAAGAGCTCAACGATAAGTTGATACCATCCTGCGGCCGGTTGCATTGCCCTTCATGGCATGGCATCCTGGGGCCATTTTCCAACAATATAATGCCAGGCCACATACTGCTCGGATATTTCTGGACTGTCTCCGTGCAGTTGATACTCTTTCTTTGCCAGCAAGGTCACCAGACCTTTCCCCAATCGAGCATGTCTGGGACATGATAGGCCGCCAGATTCGGGCACCACAACTGATGATATCTGGAGCGACAAATGGTGAATGCCTGGCAGAATGTGTCGCAAGATGACATTAGGAGCCTCTACCACTCCTTGCCTCAACAAATTCAAGCATGCATTGCCGCCAGGGCGGTTCAAACCAGTTGACTACTAATTTGAACACTCAATGCGTGATTGTTAGCCGTGAACAGGTACTATGACCTTGATTTTTTAATCATTTTATTATCTGTGTATGAGCTGTACACATGCTCAATTTCATCAAAAACAACCACTTTTTTCATGATGGTTTGATTTTTTTCAAAATGAGTATATATGAATTTTTCTGGTGTTTCCAAGTCTAATGAATGATAAAAAGATAATGCCATTTAAGTCAGTATCAGCAGATGGAGAGTTTATGAGAGGCTTTATCCTAGGCCTTAATACTGGTAATTTGTTCTTGCTCCATATCTCTGAAGAAATTCAGGTTAATGCTACAATTGTTGGTCAGATTAGGAGAGTGTAGACCCAGGAAGAAAATGTGCAGTGCTGTAGGAGGCATGGAATAAGGAGACAAACACCAGAGTGCACCAGTTGCCACATACAACATTATACCCTATATGACCTACAATCCATAATTGGAGAAATTTTGTTAAGTCTGTTTCCATTGATTGAATATTGATACGTACAGTTTCATGATGATCCATCATGAACCTTTGCAATGGTCCTGCAGCAGAGTTATGTGAAATGCTGAATGGGACAGTGTTGTTTTCAATAATAAATCTTGTTTGCCACACAAACAATAATCTGCACATGAGGGTGTGTGGGCAGCATGGCCATCTTGTAGATGCTCGTACTGTTTTCTAGTGACATATGACCTGTCAGTGTAGTATAATGGTTTGGAGTGCTATTATTGCTAACAGCTGTTCATATATAATGTGCATTACAGACACATTAATGGGAAGATGCTGTATTGGTTATCTGCTGCAGTTTCATCTTCATTAACATCAGGGCCTTCTAAATCATATTTTTCAATAAGAGAACACATGGCCCGTACTGTGTCTGGGTCATTCTTAAATACACTGTGAGGTGTAATTGGGCTCCTTAGCCAGCCTGATCTTCAATTTTTTGGCAGTCAAGCATTTGTGGGAGAAGATGTGGCATCTGTTGAATACCTTCCATCCTCCTTGAAATGAACTGTGCATGTATACCACTAATGCACAGTACATTCTTCAAATTGACAAGATTCCGACACTTATTAGTTTGAAGCTCTGATGCATTCAAAAATGTTTGCCCAAAATGGGCTGCAAATCTTAATGAGGCTGTATATAGTTAAGCGTCTTATTGTTATACACCTTTGAAAACTAAATTATTTAAGTACTTTAATATCTTTCTTTATACAAAGTTTGGTGTGCTTCCAATTATTCTTTTATGATCTGGCATCTTCTTAGTTTTGTGTTTCTTCATAGTGCGGCAGTGTTACATATTTTTCTTACTCATTTTGTGGTAAAAGTGAAATACAAATATAATCATGTTCTATCATTTCATTTTGTATGCTTCCAAAGTACTTCAGGAGTAAGATAATTTGCATTTGTTTGTAGTTTTTATGCAACATTTATTGCATACTGCAAACAGAGTAAATGAAACTACAAAAGTATTTCAATAGTAAATGAAAAGCATTTGCAAAAGTATGACATTGCATTTGCATTATTTTTTAATCACCTCTCCACTTTAGCCCTTTTGCAATGGTGCACCTTTAAGATGCTCATGTGGGATGGAAGGGAATCAAAGGCAGTCACCGTACAGGACGAGGGGGGGTTGCATTGCTAAGCCTAATTTTACAAAAAAAAAAAAAAAAAAAGTTTCACTTCTAGCATTATAAATTTTGGTATCATTTTAGATTATTACCTTAGCTCTTATATATGTTAAAATTAGCATTTAATAACCTTTTCTTCTTTATTTACATGAAAAATTAAAAAAAAATTGCTTATCTTGTAAAAAATAATTTTGGAAGCGCTATTCAAATTATTCCAAAGTTTTAATTGAAAATCCATCAGTAAAGTTTAAATAAAAAACAACACAATAAAAACTATTTAGAGTAAGAGAACAAATTTAAATGAAGACTGAGTGTGGAAATTCAAAGCATGGAGAAGTATCACTTTCTAACTTTTAGAAAATGAATCATCACTCTCATTTGTTAGTAAAGTTCAACCATATGAGTTAATATTCTCTGATAAAAAGCGCCTTTACACGATAATAGACTGGAGGTGAGGCTTTTCGAAATAAAGAAGAGAATTTGAAACATATCTGAAGGCAATGCAAAACGTAACAGAGCTCCACATATCAACCCTAAAAGACCGTGCATAGTAGAGGAAAAACTAGAATAAAAAAGGATTGGATATAAATCAGACGCGCAAATGCTTATATTAGCATGGGGCGATTTAAAGAGCCCACCTCTGTTTACGCTCCCCCACCCCCACCCTCGCAACAGTTGATGAGTAAAATACCAAAGTCAAGCAGAATATATCAAACTCAAGGTCAGGAACCTAAAACTGTGTTCATTTCAAAAGTAATGGACATAGGGTGCCATCTAGTTGTCTTCAGAGACCATTCCAGCTTAAAATGCATATACACATCGCCTGTCCTCTGAATGCAATCTCTAGTCATGCGTGGATGAGACGCCCGTCCGGAAAGGGTTAATATGCAGTCTGTAACCTCTTTCCATATAAAAAAGAAAGCACAAATTTTTGTAATTAAAATATTTTGGCAGTTTTCCTTCATTCTTGAGATATACATTTTTTATGCAGTTCATTACTTAGTGTGTTGTAGATTTTCTGAGTAAATAGTGTATTGTTTCCTGGTTAGTAAACCGTGCATCTGCAGCTGTAGTATACTTCATTTAAAATTTTAAGATATGTATTAAGATTTAAGAGGGAATAATCCTTACAATGAACTGCAAAAATGTATTGTGAAACTCATAAGAATAAATCAATGCTTTTCATTCATATGCTATTAATTCACTTGGGATTGTTCTTGTCAGTGCCATTCGTGGAATTCATTTATAAGTAAAACTATACAATATATAGTTGCAGTTAAAAAAAGCAGCTGCATAAGATATTTATAGGAACAAATAAAATTAATTATTTTGTATTTAAGTAAATGTTACACTTTTTTTTTAATTTGCACATTTCATTAGTTATTTCTTGCTCTTCTTACTAGTTGATCTAAGACAAATGCATCACTCACTTTAATCTAGAACCTACAAACATTTCATCTTTACAATTAATTTTAAAGTTTATGGACTTTTTGGCTCATTTTGTGTGTCTTATGCAGTAGAATGCTGCTTGAAGGTATTTTTCTGACAGAATAGCAATCTGCGGAAGTGGGAATAGGATCATTGGAAGTGCTGTTCATGTACTATTGAAAATGCTTCATGCTCTGCCCAGATTACGTTTCTGATAGCTGAATTTGAATTGAAATTTCTGATGTACTTGGAGATTTTCTTTCGGAAGTTGTCATTTTTTATCTCCCCCAGTGTAATGCTGTCAATGGCTATTACAATTTACCAGTCAATCTCGCTAAATCTGATAGCAATCACGTTCCCCTTTTCCATCTAGTAAATATGAAAATATTTACTTCATTTGTCAGAGTGCATACATTCATTTTCGCCTTCAAATAGATAACTGACAGCATCTTATTTACCTTTATGCTTTTCAGACCAGTTATGTATTTCTTATAAATATCCCACATCTTCTTACCGAAGTCATCACTTTTAGAAAATTCTATGGGCAAAACAAAAAATAAATTCAAAATATAAATTTTAGCATACAGTACATTGTGAGAACTTTTCTAATAACAATCATAATTTTTAGGCATTGAGAATAATTTGAAACAAACTAATAATATAGTGCTGTGTGCAGATTGTGAACGTACCTAAAACAGAGACATTCCAAAAGAGTTTTTGGTGAAATGGAACATTCAGATCATTGAAGCTCTTCAATCTCTTAATTGGTTCGAGTTTAAAAAGCTCAAATCTTTGTACTTTTTCCGTCATTCAAATCCATTCATTATAGAAGCAATGGGAAACATTGATCTTCTATTAATTATCTATTATTACCAGCTATCAGTCGCATTTAAAGTTCATTTATTAGAGAACAACATACACTTACCATTAAGTCTCTGAAAATGATTTTCCTTGTTATTTAGGCATTTACTGTAAGAAATAGTACTGACTACGGGGAAATTCCTAGATCTGTGGTGGATTTATCACAACAGGTATGTATTTAACCATTATTTGAAATTTTCAGCAGCTGTAGCCTTATTTTGAAAATTATTGTAATTATTTGTTGTGGCACAAACATTTACCTAACGCATAAAATACATCAAATATTGAAAAATATCCTTCCTCCTTGGTAGCATATATTTTCTGTCATGCTTAAAACCAGATTTATTTGCTGCATTAAAAATATAAAGTGTTCTGAAAAGAGAGGATTTGCTTGCAAAAACTTTAATAATAATAAAAATATACATCACTCAGTGCAGGAAAGAAGAAACATTGCATTCTGCTACATTCTCTATATTATTTCAGGGTTGCCACGCTACCTGGAAAACCGGGAAAAGCGGGAATTCGAAAATGACCAAAATATCAGGAAAGTCAGGGAATTTATTTTTGTCAAATTGAAAAATCAGGGAATACAACGCCGACTTCGGAAGAGGTAACTTTTTGGCGATTATGTATCACGTGAGTGTCATTCGGGTAGCTGGCATAGAGCCAGTTTTTCGCAGCTCCAATTTGATTGTCTTTAGAAAGGCAAAGCAACTTTCCCGCAACTTTTGGTTTCCAGTATTCTCGAGAATCGCATGTGCAGTGCATGAACTAAAGAAAGTACTGTTCTCGTATAAAACAAAAGGGTTTAATCCTAGTATACGGTACCATGGAGGTTAGAATCAAAGAATATGTATTGTAAAGAAGGAAAACCTCTCTGCAACGACGTGGCTGTGGCTCCGTTCCATCATAGAGGGAAAAAAGCTGTGCATGTCTGATATATCTTTGCCAAAGCTCGAAACGGTGTCGTAGTTCGAAGGTCACGTTATCAAGAGTCATAAATGAATATCGTTTAAATTTCTTAACCATTGCACTAAAAAGACGTGCCACGCACGTCAAGCTGCTTTTTTCTCAAACCGCGAGCGACGTGCACGTCGATAAGCATTTATCGCAAAATGAAAAAACGGGGTGCACACGTGCCAACAACAAGATTGTTTATTCCTCGAGTTACAGCTCTGGATTGCACTCTCATAGCAGAGCGGCTAATGAGACACTTTACCTTGTTATATTGTAGCGCACGGCACCGAACAGTGGTTTAGTCTTAGCGCAAGTGGTTAAACTCTAAAGGAAAACAAAATATTTTGGCGCAAGTAAATTAATTCATGGATTAGTTATTTCAAAAAAAAAAAAAATACTACGAAAGTCGTTTTAAATTTATTTGCGAAAAACAAGAAGAAACGTCCTTTGAAAAACGTTCTCTTGATTTCGCAAAATTTATTTTCGTTTTCTTTTTGTCAAAGATTTTTTTCTTAACAACCGCGTTTCTAATTTCCTTACACATCGCGGGAGGGAAATCTGGCCGCCAGGTTCCGTGCCAAATCCTGGCAAATTTTCCTCCGCATTCTAGCGGCGTAATAGCATTTACTTGTAGGAACTTTCTTCTTTACATAGACGTTCTTTGGTTAGAAGAAAATGGGATTTGGCGACTCTGATGTGCAGTAAACGAGTCATTGTTGGTCTGGCGACATTTTCAAAATCGGCCAAGCCTTAATAACTAAATTTTACCGCAAAATCTTTTTAAAACCTTTTTTTTTTTTTTAATAATGCTGCCTTTTGCAGTAAAATAAAAAAATAGTAATCAGTCATTAGGCACATAATTAAATATTCGCTAAAATATCCTTGATTATTCTAATTCATTTTTAATTTTATTTATTATAAATTTAATTTGCTTCTTCCCTCAATTATTTTTATTAGTAAATAATATTTCCAAATCAGAAATTTCTCTGGCATAATCCTGAAATTAATATAGCAGTATGATCCAGACCATCACGAAATTAAGCCATATTTTTTCCTTAGTATGCGCGAAAGAAATTAAAATACCTCAATTTATTAAACATGATTTCTTTCTTTCGTTAGCTGCAGAAGGTCTGAAAAAAAAGCCTTACTTATCCAGATTGGGAGGATTCTCATCTCAATTCAGAGAGAAAACACAACTATTATAAATATTTTTTTTCAAGTGTTAAGGTGCCTTTAAGAACAACCTCACGCAATTAAATTTACCTAAAATCTAACCAACTATTAGCATTGTATTGTGTTTAAAGGACCGGATTAGCCTCGTGTGAAACGGTGATGATCATGAGTAATAAAATAATAAAACATACATTTGTTATCCATATATATCTTAAATTTTATTAAGTTCTAAGGGAAAACTAAAAATATCAAACAAAGAACAAGAATAATAAGAATAAATGTCTCTGGATTTATTGAATAATTAAGTGAATTTACACAATAAGTAATCCATATATTTACCTCTTAGCACCCAACGTACATTACATGGATAGATTGGAATTTCCTTGAAACACACCTGGAAAACCTGGAAAAGTCAGGGAATTTCATTCTCCTGTTTGAGTGGCAACCCTGTTATTTGAACATTACTGTCTCTTCCCTGAAATGGTTGAATGTGTAAGCCATAATTATGAGTTATACTCTAGGTCTTCTACATCTCCAGTCTTACCCCTTTCTGGGAATAAGTAACAGATGCTATGTGTATGCTGCCTTTACCACATTACTAAGATTAGCAGTAAACTGTTATAGTAATGCATTCTGTAACTGCTGAGTGAACTTTGATGTAAGTTAGTACATAGAAAATGTCTACATGTGTTTCATCTTCCTTTTTATCAGTGATGTATAACACTCTGTTTTGTTATAGGAAATAATAATTCTGCAAGCAAATAAAGTATGCTTCTTTGTTTTGTAACACATTGTAGTTTTTAAACAAGAAGGCATTTTGCTTTAGAAGAATCATTTGCAGGCATGCATGCTGAAGAGTCAGAAATATTCGCTCTTATTTTCTAGACAGTCTATAAATTTAAAGATGTGAATCGGTGCTGAGAGGTTTTTATGGTTACCCAAAAGTTTGATTCAGAACTTAACATTTTACTATATGCTCATAATTACTCATAATTTTTCTCAAAACTATTAGAAATGGCCTTTTCTCTATAGAGTTGATAACATGTATCAAAACATTTCAGTCTTAAAGAAGATTAAGATTGGAGCACCCCCAGTTCACAGTCTTAATGGTTATAATTTGTAATAAGGATTTTTGCAAAGTTGTCCGTGGATAAAAGAGAACATCCTACATAATATGTTTATCATCATCATCATATGACATTTTTTGCTACAGTTATGCCCACTCATTCTTACACAATATGGGATCAAAGTGCAGTAGAAGAATGAAAGTGCCCTGCAATCCTTTAGAAATACTTCTTTGAACCTTTCAAATAATTTATTTATTTTGATACTCGACACTTGATTTTTTTGAATTAGTTACTGCTTGAGAAACCTTTGTAACATCACTATTTTTCTGAGCAACAAATTCCATAAATAACCATTCTAAAAGTATGAATGAAATTTGCAGTGCTGTAGTGTGTACTTTTTAATATTTTTTAATCTTCTTCTTTTCGATCGGATTTCCTTTTTTTAACAAGTCTAAAGGCAGAGATATGCTATAGGAACTTTTTGTGGTGGAGGAGAATTAAATTCATTTGACAGTTCTTTACGTAAGCAGGCTTATACTTGCTTAAGTGAAGAAATAATAGAAAATTGTGCTAATTGTGACTATTGCTGATTTGGGTATTTTATCTTGTTTTGATTTTTTTTGCATGCTGGTCTCAGATTTTATTTCTTAAATTACATTTTATTAGTGTAACGATGAATCTGATATTTGCTTTCTGATGACAGTGTAAGGTTTATCCTAAGTTTTTAACAATTATCTTTAGTTAAAGCTACTTTCGTATCTGTCCTAAGTTCAGATAAACCTCCCCTTTTTCTAACCATTTCTTGAAGTATGTTCTTATGTCCTTTTCTTTAACATTACTTAAATTTGAGGATAATGTTAGTGCAATTTGCAATAAAAATTAATTATTAAAAGATATTGGGCAATTTTGATTATCACCATTATTTCTCTCGTATTAACAATTTGTTATTTGTTTCATATTTGTATTTCAGCCTTACCTGCCCTCTGTATTAAAGCGATCAGTTTCTAAAGGCGATATCTTTACCACCAGTATTCAAGAAAGATCATATGGAACAAATGAAGATAGTATCCAGTCAACCCCAGATGGAGGTAGCATTAATCTTCCTGGGGTTGAAAGTGATAATGTAACTACTGGTTGTGGTGAACAATATCAGCGATTCTAAAAGCATCTATTCTACTCTCAGTGTTAAACTTTCCTTGCTATTTATTATTAGCATTGCAGAAAAATCTAAATTTGTTGTTGAGGAAATCATGAATGAAGTTTGATGTTTGTTATGGAAAATTCAAATTGCATGTTATTTTCTCCCATATTAAACATATAAAATTTATGTAAAAAAGAGTCCTGAGAATATCAAAATCTTATGTGCCTAAATTCACAAAATTATTGATTTTATTGTCTGCTTTTGTGCATTCATATTTATAACTGATCTTCAAATTTGAGAGGTGGCTCTATATATTTGTATTGTAATGAATGATTATATTTTTTATCATAAAAATATATTCATTCTTAATTTTACACCTTTTTTACCCATTGTTAAGTTCTCAAAAAGTATTTTTTTAAATATTTTATTTTGCAATTTAGGATTTTTTTCCATAATAGGGCAACATGCAGTAAGCAGTTTTCTGTTAAAATATACACGGTACTAGTCATACTTTATGTAATTCTTAGTTAGTGTGCAGTTTATGTGGAGCCATTAGGAATAAAGGCAAAAACATATTTGAACAGACCTTAATTGACATTGCTTATTGTCCAGTTTTAAATTAAATGTTTTTCTTTTCCATGAGCTTCCAAAGTAAATATTGCCATTAAAATGTTTTAATATATCATTCTCCTTTAGTTCTTTATTGAAATAAATTTAAGAGATGTTCAGGAAATTTCTTTTGTGTTGAGAAAACTTTTACTGCGATGCTGTCCTATAACTGAAAAGAGCCATAATTCATGCATTTTAAGTTTTGGATCAACAAGTTCCATTAAAAATTTCTTTTCAAAATTTCTTATCAGATTAATTTGTATTGAATGAATATTAAATTTTTATAAAAAATTCTGTGATACCTGTACAGAATCAATTTTTTAAGTATTTTACTAATGTAGATAAACAATCAAGATTTGGGTGGCTGTAGTCTGCTGGATATAAACTTTCGCTGCTTATTTATTTTTTATGTTATGTGAGTCGTGTTTATTTACTTTAAAACTATAAAACTTCTATGCTAAATTTAAGCACTTAGAATTACATTTATGTATGCCATATATTTTGTTTATGTGATATAAGAGAAAATTTTCATTGCATGAGAATAATTTTGTGATCAGACTGTAAAGATTTAAAAACCTTTAACTGTGATGTTCATGATTTCAGTCATACTGAATAATCTCTGTAAATAATGAAGTTTATCTTTCAAATTCATTTAGATCTTCAGGAAGCATACTACCTGATCTCTGTTATTTATTTCTAAAGAATGAAATCAGTAAAATTAATATTGGTTATATTTTTAAATCGATATAATTTTTAAATTAATATTTTTGCATACATGTGTATTCTGTCATTTTATTTGCTATTCTAGTCATGAAGAACTAGAAAATATTTTGAATGATGTATTCTTTCAGTTATGACTTAATCAAAGATTTATAACTGCATGCCTCAGAAATTTCATCTGAAATACCAGTTTTCATAACTGGTTATGGTGGCCAAAATGAAGGTTATATTTATTGATGTGCATTCTGAAGCCTCACATTTAATGCAATTTTTTGATAAATATAAAAGTTGAAAGCATATCCTTTTGCAGACAATTTAGTTAAAAATAATTATTTTAGTCTTTAGAATGAAGTAAAATCTAGGAAAGCATGGACTTCTATATTTTATGATGATTTATGAATTCAAAAATAAATCTTACTAATTTATGTTAAATGTGTTTTCAGTCATTAAATGTATTACTTAGTTTTTAGTAAACATGCTGTGGACAGTAGTTAACATTTGCAAGATAAACAATAGAATCTGTACATTTATCACACCATGTCTTTATTATATTCTTTTATAAACTGTTACTATAAACATATGTATTAATAAATGCATGTGGAATTATTTTGTTATATTAATACTTTGATAGAAACTGTACATTTATCACACCATGTCTTTATTTTACTCTTTTCCAAATTATTATTATAAATGTATTTATTAATAAATGCATGTGGAATTCATTTGTTTTATTAATATTTTAATTTTTACTTTATCTGCAGTTAAATTTCCTTTCCGAGGCATTCATTTTAAGCATTTGAACTTATTTGTTAGTACACTGAATATTTCATTATTCATTACTGTTATTAGCTTCATGTATATTAATTTGTCGCTGTAGAAACTTTCTAATCAGCCGTTTGTAATTTTGTGTTATTTAGCAAAGTTTATGGAATTATGTTAGTGCTATTGAAAGAAAAGTGAACCGGATTCTTAGATGTAGGTTTTATATCAAATTTAAGGAAAACATATGCAAATTATCAAGAGAGTAATTTTAGCCGAGATTCTATCTTTCATTTCTATACATTGCAGCATTTTGCTCATTTTCCCACTCATGACCAATTATTTTGATGCCAAATACCTCTTCTTTCCATCCCCCCCCTTCAATCGAAATTTCATTAAATAATTTTTCTGTTATCTGTTTCATTGATTTGGTAATTGTCTAATATTTCCTTAGTGTAACCAATGTTTGTATCATAAACATTTTGAAATACTTAAAAAATATCAATTCAGGCATTTGTGTAATATTTAGTGATAGTAATTTCCATTTATAGTTTTATGATAAAATAAAGTAAATGTTGTAAGTTTTATGTTCTGAGTTAAGTTGAATTTTTGCTGTGAATTTTAACTTATGATCAGAATTCTTGTGAATTCATTCAGCTTTTTGTTTACTAGATTTGAAAAAGGCTATAAAGTATAAACTGATTTCTCCTTTATGGTACATTACCTTTTGTCACTTTCCCAATTTTGTATTAAAAGTATATTTTTCGTGATTCATAATCATGTTGGAAGAGGTTATTACTAGGTATTAGAGAGGGTTTCCAGAAAATCTTTCCTGTCCCCTTGCATTATACTGGTAAATCTTAAATCCACCGCTGGTTTATAAGCATTAGATGTGGTAAAGGGAATACAATAGAAATTCAAATTTTATAGACTGACATTAACTTGTGATCTATATTTATTGAAATTATTTTAGCATTTTTGTAGCAGTATTATCTTTAATACCTATTGTATATATTAAATGTTGATTTGAGAATCACTTATTTCCCTCAGGAATTATTATTATGAAAGTCCATGAATTTTGGTATATAAAAGCAAAGTAAACAGAAAGCAACTGTCTTTCTTGAAATGTCAATGTTTAGTGTTAGGAAGGTAATATTTTAATGCATATGGGTGATTCTGATACATCTAACATTTATTGTTATTTACCTATTTTAAAATATTCACTTTAAAGAAAATGATATGAAGTATTTAGAAATAAGTAATTCTAAGATAAATTTTATATATAACTTAGTCTGCATTTTTATTTAAGTTTTATTAGTAGTTCTTCGAGATTCGTTTGTTTATTCCTTCCTCTTATTGATAGACTGAAGGTTTCTTTGTAATTACGTATGAATTTTTATTTAGGATTTTATGTATTATTTCATTATATTTATCTCATTTTATGCATTCTGAAAAGTTTATTTCATTTACATATTATTATTTTGTGTGTGTGTTTCTGGCCCTGCATTGATGATACATTCCAGATCTATTAGAGACAAAATACATTACATTATTTGAATAGATGTATTTATTTGAATAACCATATAAAATAATTATCTTTATGTTAAATACCTCTAAGACTAGTTTTTTCAGTTATTGCTTTTATTCTCTAGTAAGAGTCAAATTGTGTTAATAGCATTATAAACCATAAATATAATCAAAATGTTTTATGTACATTTTATTTCATTTATGTTTATTGAAATCCTATGCCAAGATAAGTAACTTATGGTCTGTTGAACAGCTAAAATATTTTTAATGAAACTTAGTTTCATAAATATGTGACTTACTGCTTGCATGGGCAGCGTGATCAAGGTTGTAAATAAGATAACAGTTACCAAGTAGTGTGATCTGTAGCTATTTAATATCCTGTTTCTGCAACTGTTTGAAGTTTTGATAACCTTTTAAAATGCTTGAGTATCACAAAATAATAATGTGCTTTTCAAGTATTTCAGAAACCTAGGTTATCATTGAAACTCATCTACAATTGCATTGTTTTTAATGTAAATAATTACTGTATGATGATTTTATTAAAATTCTGTGTTCAGAAGTTATTTATTGATAGGCTGATCGTTATTGCAACAACTGATCTTGAATGGCATTATTAACAATTAAAAACGTTTACTTTAGCATCATCTTGTTGAAAATGTGACCATATTTTGTAAGATGTAGTATATTTATTTGAACTATCAATGAACTGAAGTTACCCGGTTTTATCTTGAATTAAAGATATCCAGTTTTTACCATGCTTTTTTTTTGTCTCATTGTCATATTTTGTCATATAAGGTAAATGTAGAAAAGACATATACTATATATATATATATGTAAATTTCCTTTTATATTTGGGGGCTTCTACAGTATGAAGGACTGCTGTTTGATTACTTAATGTAATTAAGGGGGTAAAATAGAATTTTGTTCAGTGGGATTGATTTACATGTATATATTTAAATATATATATATATATATAATTTCCTTTTATATTTTTAGGGCTTGTACAATATGAATGATTGCTGTTTGATTACTTAATATAATTAATGGGGTAAAATAGAATTTTGTTCAGTGGGATTCATTTTCAGATTGATAATAAATTTCTTAAAGAATGTTAATTCCAAATACTAGCAATGTTTTCCAACTGATCCTGAGGTTATTTGCTGGAAATGAACACTGTAAGACATCACTATGTTAAGGATTTCTGTAATCTGCATATTGCAGTAGTATACTTAAAATTTGAGGAAAATAGAACTAGAAAAAAAAAAAAAAAAAAAAAAAAAAAATTAGGAAAATATTATTTTCCTAATTTTTTTTTCAGAGTCTTCCACAAAATAATAATTCAGACTGTATTAAATTTTCCTTCTAAATAACTGCACTGTTTTCAGAATGTTTTAATGAATAATGATGCAAATTTCAATTCTTGAAACATAGGTGACTGATCTAATATGCAGCTTGATATCACAGCTGGATATTATTTATTTTTTAAACTACAAATATGGTTCATGTTTTTATTCTAATTATTTTGTTTTCTGACTGAATTTGTGAATAGTATAGAAATCCTTGAAATATGCATCATTTTAATAAAATGCAATTGTGAGTATAATAAATAGAGCAGAAGAGAATGTAATGCACTGTGTAGTGCCATTTTGATTTTGTTATTAATATTAGTATGTGACTTAAATATATTATCTAGATGCTTGTGTTAATATTAACAAAAAACATGATGCAGCTCCTATGGACCTTTTTGGAAAATATTTAATCATGTCTTGCAGATTATAGAAATGGTTAATATTATGAATTTTCTGGAAATTCCAGATTTTTAGTAAAAAATATGGTAAGCCAGATGTGCTTTGGCAAAATGTTCACTTTACACCACTTTATATCTTCACAGATCTACGGTAGTGCCATGTTCAGTATATGAAAGACCTTGAAGAGGATATCCGGCTTTTATGGGAAAAAATACAAAATATATTTCATTTACTACTATAGTGTGATTGAAAATGTGGCTAATTTAGAATAATGCAATTATGCAGGTCATTTTGATTACCTGCAAAGAACTGTGTGATTGAAAAAAGGACATCAATCTAAGCAAGCAGACCAGCTTAATGCTGCATTTAAGCATTTCACATCAGCCAGAATGGGCAACATTCGAGTAGTCAGAGTAACTATAAATTATATAATCTGTTCGATCCACTCTATGATCTTCTGTCTCCTTAACCTTAATAAGAGAGAGATGATTGCTGACTGTATCTAGGAATACCCACCACCTCTTCTCAAACTCAGCTTAGTGTTTCATTGCAACCATTATCACCTAAGACTTCCACTGGGTATGTCATCTTCCAGTTCAGAAATGCATTACTTATATTATTTCTATTCATTTGGGCTTGGCATTTATGAAATTCTTTGATTTAGTATTTGTAGTTTATGCATTATATGCTGTGCTTTGGCAGAAACTTTCCTGAAGACCTTGTGAACACATAAATGCTCCACATACAAATTAACGATATTGCCAGAAACGTTCATGTAAATTACTGTTTGTTATATTTGGCTATACATAGAGTAATATAGTAATTTATACTTGGCTACTGTTCATATAAATTACTGTATGTTATACTTGGAATAGGTCTTCATAAATGCTTCATGGTATCGAGAGTCTTGTAAACAGTGCTTCTGGAATGCCAAAAATGCAAAGTTGAGACTAGGCAGATTGGAAGATCATAGGGGCCAAGCGATGGTGACCACCACAGCTAATCTATTGGTGTGGAAATGTAGTCTTTAGGTTAGTTGCAAACTTTGCAGCTAAAACTGACTATACACTTTATCGTGCTGAAACCACTTATATCCTCAAATAGTTGCTGGAATATTCAGTGGCAAGATCTCATTCAGAAAAATACTATACTTGCCTGTTTATTCTGTCTTGTAGAAGACACAGTATAAATGAGTAGTAGTGAATGATCCATTCCTGGAATATTGCTGTTGGTTGCTGTACTGTCTTGTTACATGCAGGTTTATGGTGCCTATAACATTATACATGCTTAACATTCTGTCAATTATGTAGGGAAGTTTTTGCATGAATAGGACAGATTTTACAAAATATGAGTTCACTGCCCTGTATTTTAGGAACCGGTATGTAAATTTTACTTGGAGAGGAAAATCCATATCCGACAAGGTCTAAACTTTCTAGAAATGGTATTGGTGAAACTGTTCTTCATACTGCATACTCCCTTCATATAGTGAGCCACATCAAGATTACTACCTCAGTTTATATGCTCATGGGCATAGCCAGGGCTGTGCACTTACATTTCCCCCTCTCTAATGCATTTCCCCCCCCCATACTCTGATATTAACCACAAAAACTTGCAAAACATTTGTTCTTGGACGAACAATCTTTATTTGACCTCATAGTTTGTCACGTAAATAACCAATTGGCACTATGTTACTTGATATTGCGCACTTTTATCTACACTCATTGTAAAGATACAAATGAGTAGTGGTTGTTATTACAAATTGGTTGTTATTTCAAGAGTTTCCCTAGGCAGCATTGGTTTTTTTGTCTTGTTAGTTGACAAATGAGTATCATTTCCTAGTAACCTTGAGGGGGGTCAAGGGAAGCGTTTTTTTGCGAAAATTTACTCTTTGTTAGGTTAGTGAGAAAGGAAGAGGAAATTGTTTCAATCTTACCGTTAATTTCATTTATTGGATAATCTGACAGTAGAGTCTGGTAAAGCACTTAGTGTTAAATTAGATATAAAAAAAAAGTATGCTGTAGAGTCGTTGAATGTATCGAAAAGCCCTTGCTTCTGGAGCCCAGATTTTCGTCAACCAATCAGAATATAAGAATGGTCGTATGCATCATGCAAGCCGCTGATCTACCATGAATCACAGCTCTCCACGTTTCTATTTGCTCTCTATGCATGTTATTTTTTCGCTTATTCCATCAGCTTTTACATTATGGAAACATATGTAAAATTTAGTGCACTTCGTTTGCGTTTTTCGCTCAGTCAATCTAAAACCAGCTTTGTAAAGTGATTCAAAACAGTTTAACATAAATACTGATTTTTAACGCTGTAAATGATATGATGGGCACAAGAAGTATTAAAACCGGTAAAACTATCGAAACTAGTCCTGTTGAAAATTTGAAAATATAACATTGATTTTTGTTGTTTGACTTTTGAATTAGTATTTGTTCGGCTTGTTATTTTGTGTCTTAATCTGTATTGTTATTTTAACTTTTAACACTATCTCGGATTGATGTAATTCATAATGCATGTAATTCGCTCAATTTATAATGTAACTGAGTGATAATTTTCATAAAAATTTTCATAATTATTGCAAATAATAAATGATGTTTCTAGCGCTGTATAATAACGTACCTCGGTTCAGAATATTAACTGGTAGGCCGTCTAACAAAAAATTTAATTTATGACTTATGGATCATAAGTAGGAAACTGTTCTTTTAACCCTGCACTGCTCGCGCGGCGTCCCACAGACGCCA